TACACTGCTCTACAACCCCAATTCTAGGCTCTCTGCTGACAACGATATTGGATTTGATGATCCAACGTCCTGTGACGTGCCACATGGCAAGTCTTATTCTCCACATGTGATCTCCCAAAGCTTTGGTGCTTGGGGACCTTTATTAGGGACAATGTCAGAGGAGAGAAGGGTTCAACCAATAGAGTACGGCAGAAATAATGCTACGTGACTTCTGAGGCTAGATCGTAAAAATACCATGTACCTTAATGCTTGGTTCTCTTGGGATGCTCATTCTTGGAAACCAGCCACTAAGTTGTGAGGAGGCCAAGCAGATCCTGGGAGAGGCCACTTGTCAGTGTCTTGGCTGACAGCCCCAGCTGAGGTCCCAACTGACAGCCAGCGGCAACTGCCAGCCATGTGAGTGAGAACCATACCTTAGTTGAGCCACGCCAGTGGACAGTGCATAGAGCAGAGTCTATTCTTCCCTGCCAAGCCCTGCCCAAATTGCTAAATAAATGACTGTGGATGCTTTGTTATGCGGCTGTAGCTGTCTGCTCTGTGTGTGTGTTCCTGTGATTCAGTGCCTTTGTGGGTGCCCATAGGCAGTACCTTTGTGTCAAATGTCTGTGTACATGAGTAGGTGTGTGGTTGAAGGTGTTTCTGGAGACAGAATCATGGTTTTTGGGGTTTAGCTTTGGCCTCAGTGGGAGCTGTTTGGTGAGAACCCTTTGAATTTTTTTTTTTTTTCGGTATGCGGGCCTGTCACTGTTGTGGCCTCTCCCGTTGCGGAGCACAGGCTCCAGACGCGCAGGCTCAGCGGCCATGGCTCACGGGCCCAGCCGCTCCGCGTCATGTGCGATCTTCCCGGACCGGGGCACGAACCTGTGTCCCCTACATCGGCAGGTGGACTCGCAACCACTGCACCACCAGGGAAGCCCAACCCTTTGAATCTTGTCTGTCTTCTGAGTCTCTTCTTTTGCGTGCTTTCCCTTTGAACCAGAGAGGCCTGTTTAGCTGAAAGCAAGTGCAGCTTAAATTTACTTACCTTTTTCTGGCCAAAACCCCCTGGAGATGCCAAAGCCTTCTAGCAGGTGGGAGGCTGCCATCCAGAGGCCTCACATCCCTTTCTCAGGGGCTGAAAACACTGTTTTTAAAATTCTCCTTTTCTGCTACTGAGGCCTTCAGAAATGCACCTGAGCAAAGCACAGACACTGGGGTCGTTGATGTCTCCTGGGTTAGAGAGACCTAGAATTCCTGACTGGCACCAAGGAAGCTGCTGATGGGCTCAAGTGTGCCCAGTCCCAGGGCAGAGGTCATCTCATCTTTGCCCTGCCTTAGCTGCTGCCACCTACTCCATCTGAGTGCAGCACAGGTAGTAGAGGACCCTGGTTCAGACGGCCAGTTCCTCTTGGTCTCCTCGGCAGTGCCCCTCAGCTTTTATTTTTTTTTGCGGTACGCGGGCTTCTCACTGTTGTGACCTCTCCCGTTGCGGAGCACAGGCTCCGGACGCGCAGGCTCAGCAGCCATGGCTCACGGGTCCAGCCACTCCGTGGCATGTAGGATCTTCCTGGACCGGGGCACGAACCTGTGTCCCCGGCATCGGCAGGCGGACTCTCAACCACTGCGCCACCAGGGAAGCCCCTCCCCTCAGCTTCTTGCTATCAGCTTCTTGCTTCTTCCATGCTGGCAGCTCGATTTAGCTTTTCTGGGAACGCAGAGAGCTCTCTCTAGCTTCACAGTCCTGCCCTTGCACTGACTCTCAGCCTCTCAGGACCTCTAAAGCACTGTTTCTAACAGAGCTTTTAGCGGTGATGGAAATGTTTCATAATCTGCACTGTCTAATATGGTAGACATTAGCCACATGTGGCTCTTGAGCACTTGAAATGTGACTGGTGTGACTAAGGAACTGAGCTTAAAATTTTATTTAATTTTAATTAATTTCAATCTAAATACTGCATGTGGCTATTGGCTACTGTGTTGGACAGCACAGCTCTGAAGAGTTCAGAGAGAAGAGTTTTTCTTTTATTTGTAAAATGGGGATAAAAATTGGCCCCATCTGCCTCATAGGGCTGTCTGAAGCAAACAAGATGATGAATGTGAAAAAGTTTTATTCACATAAGGGATCTGGAAAGATAGACAGAAGTGTGAACTTATAGCTCTTTGTTAAAATTTCTGTTTTATGGCCCTTGCTGGACTGTGTTGATTTGATCTGTTTACATTTCTGTGTCTCTCATCTGACTCTGAGCTCTTTAAGGGTAAGAACAGGTGGGATAGTATCAGAGATGTATCCTCACCGCATGTAGCACAGTACTCATGTTCAAGTAAATAAAATGTCTGGAGTTCAGAAGTGATTCCTGGCAGCAGGATTTAAAGTGTATGGTGAGGAACTTCCCTGGTGGCGCAGTGGTTAAGACTCTCAATGCTCCCAATGCAGGGGGCCCGGGTTCGATCCCTGGCCAGGGAACTAGATCCCACATGCACGTCGCAACTAAGAGTTCGTATGCCACAGCTAAGGAGCCCTCCTGCTGCAACTAAGACCTGCTGCAACCAAATAAATTAATTAAATAAATTAAAAAAAATAAAGTGTATGGTGAGAGCTGGGATTGGGGGGTACACACAGAGGAGGGGGCAGGACAATGGGGTGGTGAGACAGAGAGCTAGGGCTCCGGCTCCCCACACTCAACATTCTAGGGCCATCCAGAGAGAGCAGGGAGCCAATTCCTGATGTCAGGAATGCTTTCACACAACTGGGTATCAGGCTTGTCAGAGATTAATTGGGAAAGTTTGATCAGAGGAGAAATGATCTATCCACACATTTTGCTTGTTGAGGTAGGCCAGATCGATCATATAAATCTCTGCCTAGCCAGGGCTCTGGGGGTGGGTGCTGCTGTGGTTTCCTTTAATTGATGGTGGCAAGGTTGAAGGTGGTTCCCCAGGCTCTTTACCTTTCCAAGGTTTTGCTCTTCTGGGGAGTGAAAGAGGGAACTTGGAAGCTCTCCAACAGAGTTGTAAGGGACAGAAGGCTTTTTAGTTGTTGTTTACTTATTGAAAAGGAAATTTAAAACTTATTTCCGCTCAATTCCAAGAGTAATACAGGGAAACAGAGAAGAGACCAACGTAATCCCACCACCCAATCTGATCCTTGGATTTCAAACTTTCCACCTTTACAGTGGTCCTCCTTGTTTGGGGGCCACAAGAGTAGAGGCAATCTGCTTAGGCCCAGCCCTGCACTCTGATTTTAGCAGCTCAATAGGCTTGAGCTTGGAGCTAGTTCCCCTGGGAAGGGGTTCTCAATCAGGGCTTTTAGAGGTTTGGGGATTGGGGGGATACAGAATTTTCCTTCTGCACATATTTGAGCTGGTTAGATCTGTCCCAAGAAGGAAGCCAGGCTCCTGTGAGTGTTGGCAGCTCTGTGTCCAGCTGGACTTTTCTCTTGGCTCATGCGTTTAAGTATGAATTCTGAGATTTGAGTTATTCTATTTTTAAGCATCTTACTCTTGTAGTACTTTATTAATATCTTTTTTATAACTTGTGTCAGGCTCAGTTGTAATTTATATGTTCACTATGCAATGTACCACTGATGCAGTAAATACTTGTTGAACATTTATTATCTGTCCTCGTGGTACTAGGCAGTGACACAAACTAGAATTATTCCTGGGCCCAGCTATTCTCACCAGCCTCCTGGGTGTTCCATGGGAAAAGTGAGCTGTTCCCTGTCCTTTCCCACCCAGTCCCAGAGAAGTATCTTATGTAGGTTTTTCTAATAAAGTGGCACTACTCACTGAAGCCTAGGGGCTTGTTCTCTCTTCCCAGGCTACTAACCAAAGTTTGTTCATGGCTGTGAAGTCAATCTTCCATCTGCTTGAAGTAAACATAATCAAGAAAGTAGATTAACTGCTAGAAACTCACATAATACATGGAAAAGGGAAAGGAACTAAACAGATAGGTTGATTGTTTGCTCTTATTGTTTAGATTATCCTTTCTCTGACTTAAATTCCCAGTTATAGCACTTTCAGACTGTATGAACTTGTCTTTCAACCTCTTTGAGCCACAGCTTCCCCATCTATAAAAAGGGGGTGACAGCTCTGATCTTAAGAAGTTATGAGGGGCTTCCCTGGTGGCGCAGTGGTTAAGAATCTGCCTGTCAATGCAGGGGACACGGGTTCGAGCCCTGGTCCAGGAAGATCCCACATGCCGCAGAGCAACTAAGCCCGTGCACCACAACAACTGAGCCTGCGCCCTAGAGCCCGCGAACCACAACTACTGAAGGCCGCACGCCTAGAGCCCATGCTCCACAACGAGAGAAGCCATCGCAATGAGAAGCCTGTGCACTGCAACGAAGAGTAGCCCCCACTCGCTGCAACTAGAGAAAGCCCGCGTTCAGCAACAAAGATCCAACGCAGCCAAAAAAAAAAAAAGAAGTTATAAGAAGTAAATATAATGTATACACAACACCTGGCATATATAAATAAGATATTCAGTGGTAGAACGGAATTAGAGCTGATGGTGACTTTTATTTTTAAAATAATTAGTCGTTTTCAATTCACACATTACATAAGTATATAAAGTAGGTGACTTGCTGGTGCCCTATTCTGCATAAATTTTCTAAGGACTGTTTATTGCTTCAGACTTCTTACTGCTTTATCCCAATTGAATCACACCAGTTTGATTTTTTTACTCTCTACCACCTCTGGTTTCTTTTTGGCTATACTATGCGGCTTGTGGGAATCTTAGTTTCTCAACCAGGAATTGAACCCACGTACCCTGCAGTGGAAGCCCGGAGTCTTAACCCCTGGACCACCAGGGCAGTCTCACCTCTGACTTCTTTCTGATGATCATTCCGCTAGAAAGAAGTTAAGCTCTGGTTTAGGAGCAAAACTAGGCCCGCGGGTACCTCACGCTGGCGGAGGGATACTGGGGTAAATAAGTTCCAGGAGGTTTGCTCTCAGATAGACGCTAGGGGGCGGGACTTAACAGAAGCCGGGAGGGGTGGGGCTGACAACTCAGAGTGCGGGAAAGGGAGTGAAGCGGCCGTACGCTGTCCGGAAGACGACAGTTGGGCGAGGAGGCGAGTGACATAACAGCCGCGCGCTCACGGCTTCTGACGGTGGCCGCTGCGTCTGCGTACAGGGAGCTGGTTGCCGCTGCGGCCGCCTGGAATTGTGGGGGTTGTGTCTGCCCCTCGGCTGCCGGGCGGGAAGCCGAAGGTAGGGGCGGTGAGGGCTGCCCGGCCCTGGGCCTGGGCTTGGGGCTCAGGGCGCTGCCCGGGTCTCCTCTTGCCAGAGGCCCCGGCGCCTTCCCGGCACTGTTGTGGGGTCCCTACATATCGCCCCCCCCAGTGTCTGCGAAGCGGGACGTACAAGGGGACTCTGGGCTCCTCACTGGTTTCCTCAGACCTGGCCTCTCAGCCCAAGGCTGCCTTCCCAATTTTCCCTCTCAAAACGTCTCCCGTAACCCTGTTTAAAGGCCAGGAGATGAGGCAGTGGGCCTCCGAGACGGGCTTTTGGCTTCGCATCTGTTTTAGTTCCCTTCCCTGTTCCCTTTTCCCGGCCTCAGTTTCTGCATTTGTCCAGCTGCTCCAGTGTTGACATTCTGGTGTCTCTTCACCATGTGGAATTGAGCCCTACCCGCGTCGTATTTCCACTCCTGTCTTGTGTTATCCTTTGCCCTGGTAGATGAAATACTTGCCTTTAAAGTAGGGGTTAGAGACTTGGGTGTGTTTCAGATCACCCAGAAGGTTGTGCATATACCTGGGTTTTACTTACAGGAATTTCAGGTGAAGTGGGGCATGGGCACCTGCAATCCTTCCCAGGTGGTTCTGATTTAGGTGGTCCGGAAATCCTCGCTTTGAAATTCTCTGGCAAAGAAGGCAGGAGAAAATCATTTGAAATATGAGCCCCATGTGGGAAAAACAAGGAGTCAGGAAATGCTCAACACCTAAGAGGCCAGTGGGGGTTTCCTTTGCACTAGAGGAGCTAGAGGGCTGTTTGATGCCTTAAAACATAATAATAATTTAAAAAATATGATTCATATGTAAGATCAATTTTCTAATATTTTTAAATGCTTGGCCTCGATTCAAGTCCAGCTGGCTTTCCGGCCTAAATAAAACAAAACAAAAAGGCAAACTGCTTTGGGGGATTGAGGGGGTTAGATTAAACCCAGACTAGGTAGGCAGGTAAGGAATGAATCCTCCATGTTTGCTAAGAGAAGAAATTGATTTTTATAAACACAGTGTTTGTTTTGACAGTGTGAAAGATGTGTTTTGTATCTGTGTGTGTTTTTAGCTCCCAACCTACCCAAGCTCTTTTCTTTTATGATAAAACTAGCCAGATTTGGAGATTGGATAGGATTTTGATGGGAGTCAGGACATGAGGATATTAGGATTGATGTTTGTTCAAAATGGATCAGGACTTGGTCTGTGGCTTCAGTTGAGAACAAGGACCTTGGGTTTTAAAGGTGTTGCCACACCAGATTTATTTTTACCTTTCTTTTGGGTGTTTGGTGAATTATATCAGCTAATTAATACATGTGCTGTTCTGATGAAATTGGCAACAGAAAAGACTTACTGCTCCCATTTTACAGACGATGGGAATGGGGAGTATGTTAGTAGGGATGTGGTAGCTCAGGAATGAGAAATTGCCTTGTCCTCTGATTCCTGCTTTCTTCACCTTTCCTGCTGTCTTTGAATAGGAGCTATTCTCTGCAGAGGCCAATTTTGAGCCCTGGTGTGTTTCATTGACAGGAGAAAAGGATAATGAAGTGAAACTGAAAGTTAAAAAAAAGGGTTTGAAATGAACATGCCAGAACTTAATTCTCACTGAGTCTTGTTCTCCTTTAGAATGGTATGTGTAGGTGCAAGTGGACGGGGTTGTGGGTGTCATCACTTAAGTGATATGGCCTTTGTTTTTTGTTTTTTTTGGCTGCACCACCCGGCATATGGGATTTTAGTTTCCTGACCAGGGATCGAACCTGTGTCCCCTGCATTGGAAGTGGAGTCTTAAACACTGGACTGCCAGGGAATTCCCATATAAAAAAAATTTTTTTTTGATATGGCCTTTGTACAAAGTAGTTTTGAAAATCCAACTCTGACGGAGACATTTTTGAACCATATGAGAGATCAGTTTCATTAATACATGATACCATACTTTTTTTTTTTTAAACCCCAAATGGCATGGGTAAGCAGTCTTGTCCCTTGACTTCAGATGAATTAACAGTTCATTTGAAGTGGACCTAGTGGTGAACGTGAGTTTTTTTTTTTTTTGGCCACACGGCGTGGCTTGTGGGGTCTTAGTTCCCCTACCAGGGATTGCACCCGGGCCCTCGGCAGTGAAAGGGCAGAGTCCTAACCACTGGACTGCCAGGGAATTCCCTGAACATGAGTTTTTTTAAAAAAATATTTATTTATTTATTTTTGGCTGCGTTGGGTCTTCGTTGCTGCGCGCCGGCTTTCTCTAGTTGCGGCGAGCGGGGGCTACTCTTCGTTGCAGTGTGCGGGCTTCTCACTGTGGTGGTGGCTTCTCTTGTAGTGGAGCACGGGCTCTAGGCGTGCGGGCCTCAGTAGTTGTGGCGCACAGGCTCAGTAATTGCGGTGTGTGGGCTCTAGAGCGCAGGCTCAGTAGTTGTGGTGCACGGGCTTAGTTGCTCCATGGCATGTGGGATCTTCTCGGACTGGGACTCGAACCCGTGTCCCCTGTATTGGCAGGTGGATTCTTAACCACTGCGCCACCAGGCAAGCCCCTGAACATGAGTTTTGATTCTGAATCTATTTCTTATTAGCCATATGACCTTGGACAAGTTATTTCACCTCGTAGGGTTGGTTTTTCCAATGGATAAAAATGGGAATAATATTTTAAAGAGTGGTTAAATGAGGTAGTAATATGAAAGCTCTTGGGACATAGGAATGCAATAACTGTTTTCACCCTCAAAGAATGAAGATTTGCTGTAAATGAGAATATTCAAAAAGACAGGAGCGTTTGTAAAGGCAAGTTGTGCCTTTTTCCATATAGGTGGATGCCTTCTAATTGTTATTTCATTTATGTTTGTGGATTCATGCTCAGACCTTCTCATCCTGCCTCCTGTCTTTTTCTTCATTCATTTTTTTTAACATCTTTATTGGAGTATAATTGCTTTATTTTACAATGTTGTGTTAGTTTCTGCTGTATAACAAAGTGAATCAGTTATATGTATACATATATCCCCATATCCCCTCCCTCTTGTGTCTCCCTCCCACCCCTCTAGGTGGTCACAGAGCATAGAACTGATCTCCCTGTGCTATGCGGCCGTTTCCCACTAGCTGTTTTACATTTGGTAGTGTATATATGTCCATGCCACTCTCTCACTTCGTCCCAGCTTACCCTTGCCCATGTCCTCAAGTCCATTCTGTATGTCTCCGTCTTTCTTCGTGTCCTGCCCCTAGGTTCTTCAGAACCATTTTTTCTTTTAAGATTTCATATATGTGTTAGCATATGGTATTCTTTTTTCTTTTCTTTTCTTTTTTTTTTATGGGGTGTAGATATTCTTACACCCGTTTTATAGTTTAGGAAATGTAGAGCCAGGGAGTGGTCTCAGTTAATGGTACTCATGATAGGGTTTTTTTTTTTTTTGAATTTTATTTTTTTATACAGCAGGTTCTTATTAGTCATCCATTTTATACACATCAGTGTATACATGTCAATCCCAATCTCCCAATTCGGTATTTGTTTTTCTCTTTCTGACTTCACTCTTTATAACAGACTCTGGGTCCATCCACCTCACTACAGATAACTCAATTTCGTTTCTTTTTATGGCTGAGTAACATTCCATTGTATGTATGTGCCACATCTTCTTTATCCATTCATCTGTTGATGGACACTTAGGTTGCTTCCATGTCCTGGCTATTGTAAATAGAGCTGCAATGAACATTGTGGTACATGACTCTTTTTTTTTTTTTGCGGTACACAGGCCTCTCACTGTTGTGGCCTCTCCCGTTGTGGTGTGCAGGCTCTGGATGCGCAGGCTCAGGGGCCATGGCTCACGGGCTCAGCTGCTCTGCGGCATGTGGGATCTTCCCGGACCAGGGCACGAACCCATGTCCCCTGCATCGGCAGGCAGACTCTCAACCACTGCGCCACCAGGGAAGCCCACATGACTCTTTTTGAATTATGGTTTTCTCAGGGTATATGCCCAGTAGTGGGATTGCTGGGTTGTATGGTAGTTCTATTTTTCATTCATTTTCTATCCTTTCCTGAGTGAAGCTGTGCTGTGGAGGCCATCTGCCAGTTTCTTGGAGTAAGCCTCTTTTCAGGAGAGCTAATCTGAACATTCTTACAATGCCAGCCCCTTGGTTGTGGATTGCTGGGGATTTTTCTGTGGGGCCTCAGCTGGTGCTTAGATCACGCTCTGTAGCACAGGAATCTCTAATGCCTGGATTTGGTGTCAATTTGGAGACCTGTCCTTGTGGAGCTAATCTTTTCTCTTTCTGAGCAAGGATGAATGCTTTATCCTTCTCTGAGTCGGCTTTAAGCTGCAAGCCTTAGTCTTCCATAACATAGAGCTTCTTATTTTAATTATAAGGAAGGAATATCCTGCCCTTTTCTTTTCTTTATTTACTTTCACCAAGGGTTTTACGGCTGAGTAGGGGAGGATAGCCTGTTGTCATTCAGGTGGGGCTGTCGGTAACCCCTGATTACTAGCTTCAACAGTAATTGAGTTTGTCTTTGGGATAAAAACCTCATAAAAGAGTAAGGCTGCTCAGGACACATGTGAAGAACCTGTCAGAATTTTCCTGATTTGTGAAGAGTTTACACCTGAAAACTTGTGTAAACCTGTAAACGTCCTCACTTGTGCAATTTTCTACCTTGGAGATAGTGAGAATCCAGGAGCAACTGAACTATGTTTAGCCCAGACTGATAGACAAGGGTGTGGTTATGATGGCTGGCCATGTCTGCCTTCATTCTCCTAATAGTGTCCTAGGCACTATTTGAGGCATTGAGAAGTGACTTAGTCAATTATGGGCTGCTATAACAGAATACTATAGATTGGGTGGTTTAAATAACAGTTATTTTCCACAGTTCTGGAGGCCAGAAGTGCAAGATTAGGGTGCCAGTATGACGAGATTCTTGAGGAAACTGGGTTGTCCCTTTGGACATCTAATCAAGTGTTTCTCAACCTTTTTTCATTAGCACCTTTTGAGACATTTTTTTCCCTAATTGCCCCCCTGCCTCCAGTC